CCCACCGCCTGCGCTAGGGCCTGCAGGCTTTCAGCGCTCGGCACCGGCGCTGACACTTCTAGGCGAGAGTCCTGAAGTATGATAGAATGTCCTATTTATAAGTCTTCAGTCAACCATGCTGCTGGTTTGATCTTATCTTTTCAGAAATGAAAAGTTTGAAGGACACTTTGACTTACTCTTCTCCGTTGAGCAGATCGTCGCGCGCTGTCGCAAGGTTGTATTGCAACTGGAATAGAAAACACAAATCTATTAATATTTAATTTATCAGTTCAACAAACACGTGCCAAAGCCAGTTCACGATATGTTCAATCGATTTTTTTAAATCGTCGATTACATTTAGTAGGGTAAAAACATGTCATTCATTATGCCATTGGTCAATGTTTGCTGATAAACAAAGAGGATTTTTAAACAATTATTCCCACGTTTGTGTGCATTGATGCAATACCAAATTACATTACAATGAGTTTTTTTGAGTAACTCCAAAGAAACGAGAAGGGAATTTCGACAACATGAAGATGGTTTATGTTCTAATCGCATTTTAATAGCATAGAGCAGATTTATGTTGATCCAATAATATTATGTGACCTTGTAAACTACGGCAAAACAACAAGTACCATTAGTACTGAGGTAATTACTGTAAGAACTTATATATAAATGTAACTAAAAAGGCCTGATTTTAAAATCTTTTCGGGTCGTATCCGTGTTAAGTGGACGGAGCTAGCGGACCAATCAGGGAACGGTTTGTCATCTACGACATGTGACGTAGTGTTGTACTGCGTTAGCGCGGGAAGAGTCTAAAGATTCTTTAACGGATTTTGAATTTTAATCAAATATATTATAGACTAGCTGTTGCTCGCGGCTTCGTCTACTTGAAATTATTTTTTTTTAAAACATAGCTTATGTTTCTCACACATGATATAGCTTTTTAGTCTTTTACTTTTTAATTTTGATATATTCCTACGACAAAGTTTTACCCACTCAATTCAAGACAAGTTCCTAAATTCAAATGGGAAATAATGTTAAGAAAATTATCTTTAAGCGGTCATATAAAATATGCAATTTAACCATACTCGGTACTGCTTTACCGATAACTGGTGGTAACCGCACATGAGAAACTTCCTTTAGATGCAACACTTATGTACAACATTACATAACCTCTTATATACTCTCACAGAAGTTAAAATATATTCTTGTTCTTTGACTTTCGCATATACTCGTTGTTTTATAAACAAAAACGTTTAATAACATTATATTTAATAATGTTATTTCTTAGAATACGTATGTAAAGGTGTTATTACGGTACAAGCCGCTCACAGCACAAATGTCAGTAAATACCTCCAATTCTAATGATCTCAGTAACTGCAGTAATGACCGATTGCAAACATCGTTTCAACATAGTCTATGTTAATTGATAGTTACTATGGATATAGGTCTATCTTTTTGATTATTACTCTAAATGTGGTTTGTTGGTAATAAAGTTGTAAATACTTGGCTAATCCGTAGAGTTGTGCATATTGCAGGCATAAATTTAATCTTAATATTTCACTGATATTAAAACTGCGAAAATTTGAATAGGTGAACAAATATTTGTTAGAGTTTGTAGCCTAAACTGCTGAACAGATCGCTACTACCTTTTATTTTTTTTTAATTCCAAGTGGACGGAGTCGCGGGCGAAAGCTAGTAATACTATATTTCTCTTCAGCCAAGTACATAATCGGATTATTTTGATGTTTATGTTAAAGTAGCATTAGCACGCGACTCCGCCCGCGTGTAGTTAAAAAAAATGTAAGTAAGTAGCCTATGTGTCCTTCCAGACTATTCTCCACATCTATGACAAATTTCATCGAGATGCGTTAAGCTGTTTAAGCTACAGACCTTAACAAACATCCATCCATCTATTTTTTCGCAATTATAATATTAGTAAGATTGTTTGCACAATATCAAGTCTATAACTTAGTTTTAAGTACTTACTTAAAGTTAATAGGACGAGTAGAACCGCAGTCCGGGGCATTTTCCGCACATTCTCACACCACCACGGCATCTCTGAAAAAAATAACATTCGAATTTCAAAAATTTAAAAAACGAACAATAAATACAGAGCCGACGTTAGGTTAGGGCGCGGCAGGGCAACCGTCTAAGGCGATATTGCTCTAAACGATTTTTGAATATACTTGCAGAAAATCTTTAAAAGATTATTTGTCTTTACAGTAGAGATTTTATTTAAGAAAGTGAAAAGTATTATCAAAGTATCTAAATATTTAAAAATCACGGCAAATGTTCTCCTATTTCGTGCGTTCAGGTAATAGTAGATGAGTAACTTTAGGCGTGGTAAAGGCGGGTCCCCACGTGCAAATCGTTCGCTGACATCACGAGCGCTCGTGACGGACGTATCTAGATGCAAGGAGAGTCAACCGTGGGATGATGGTACAGATAAGATCATTGCTAAAGGAACTTTTTAACGGCTTAGTAGCTGTAACTATTTCAAATAAGGTCGTATTCAAATTGACTAGTTGCATTAAACAATTGCAATTGTAATTGGCAGTTCGTGCATTATCTAACAAGGAAGTTGGTAAGATTGAATAATGCCGCATCTCTTCATTTAACGATGTCGGAGAGCGGAGAGGAAAGTTCGAGTGCAATAAAACTCAGAGCTACTGAATAATTACATGCAAATCTGAAAGATTGCCTGTGGTTCAAGATATAGACTGGTAGCGGTTAAAGTTATATGTTCAAATGTTTTGTTGTTTTAAATTTAATTGATTACTTATTGTAGCAAATTTTATTATTTTAATTTATAATATTAATTTTATGCAGTGTATTTGATATCTTTGTTACTGTAATATACTGGTGAAAATCTAATCTATTGATTTCAATAGGTAAGTATTAACTGTTACTAAAAACGTCGGGCTTATATTTTGTGAGTTTTAGAAATTTGAGTTTGTAGCAATGAATGAGAGTTTGGTCAACTTTTGTGAATTATAAATCGCTTCCGCTTACAACTTGAGCCACAGCGACCACCCATAGTGCATTATCTGTGACGTTGCGACACAGATTCTCATGTACTTACTGCTGATCCCAATAGCTAAGTTTTTAGTGTTTACTTATTTTCGCGTGCAGTAATATAAAAAAATTGTTTTTATCTCGAAACATTTCTTTATAAAATGGCTGTTAATTCTGGTTGGAAATGCTGATGTTTGCTGTGTAATTTTTAAGAAAAGTTTGAGAACCTATGTTTTTTTCTTTCTTTTTAAACACGACACTATCAGACCGCACGCATTGGGTCGTGTAAACGAGACCACGTCTGTCATTATCTGCGCTAAGAAAGTCATTACTTTGATGTGCGAGTTCATCACGACAGGGAAACAGTTTCCGTTTTTGTTTATCTTTGCCTTCCTAGTCTTATTTTTGAATAAGTTATTAACGTTGTAAATACGAATGTTGAGGTTAAATATCCACAACTGATCAAGAGATTTCTGAGATATGGTTCCTTTTTTGTTACATAAATAAATTGTAGTAAAATTGCGTTTAACATACATTTACATTCTCCTTATACGTGACGTACAGAAGACCATAAACAACGTTACGGATGATTACCATCAATTGTGGCCCTTCTCTTGACCTTGCCCCCTCCTCAACCCCCTCGCGTCTAGCCTCGGGATGCCTTACGCCATTTTAATTATGGGAAGCTGACATTTTTGTTATCTTCTCTAACAGTAATTGACGAAAAGATTTATCGTTTGAGCGTGACTGTGGAATTTAATAGATTTGGTTTATTTTTCAGTAAAAAAATCTCTTAGAGTTAGAATCATTATATTCCGTTAATTACTGTTTAAGACATTTAAATAAGACAATTAGACTCATACGTATTCAGCACTGTACTATAAATAATGCATCACATTTGTGAGTGTACTATTAGTGTTCTTATTTGTGACTGAATGGCCACTGTTTGCCTTGAAGAGGCATTTACAGATTCTTAGGGCTTGAGGTGGCCGAGCGCAGATGGCGCTTAGTCTAAACCTCGTTTATGAGTAATTAAGCTAGAGGGCTCCCTCAGGAGCCTTAATTAGTGTACTATCATGTACCAGGAGAAATTAGTGTACTATCACAATTAATAGAATGTAATAAATGTACGTAAGCGTACGATTGCTATTGTGTTGCGTGGAATTGCGCAAGATTACTTTTGCGGCCAAACAATGGCCAGTCCAGCCGCTGGCCAATAGCAGCTAGTGAACAAGACTGAAATGGCCTTGCAAGGTCAAATGAAGATCTGTGTTCTAGTAAACATTTTACTGTCCTATTGTTTTTTTCATTTATGCTTCTTTGTGGGATATTTTTGTATGAATAGCTTAATTTGTAGACATTATTGTAAGAATCCTTGCAACAATTAGTCAGACAATAAATCGAACGATGTTCAGGGTATGAAACAACCTCCGCACAATGGAGGCCTAAGCCCCGGGCACCGTAATTAACAAGATTAACTTAACAAATTTACAACCTTGCTGATACATTCTTAAACTAAGTAAGGTAGATGACGAAGCAGTTAAACTTTTATTAAACATCAAGATTTTTTTATAAATTATTTCAATATCACAACACTCATTTGTTTATTTTTTATATAGAAAAAGCGGGCAAACGAGCAGCGCCCATGAACATCCGCAAAGTCAGTTTTACATATAATTAGGCTTCGCCAGATATACCATGCTGTAATACAATAACATCACAATAACTTACAAGGATATAAGTAGATATAAGTTGATTCAATCTCTTTGAATCACCGACAATCTACGACGACAGGGAAAAGCTCTCCCTTGTAACCTTAGTGACCTAAGTGAGCTTAGTTCAAGCTTTCGACAGCCGCGAGCTGCGATCCTCTGTACTTAAGTTTGACCTGTAGAAAGTGATCTATGCATAACACTAACCCTGCGGCTGTTTGGAATTCATTTTGCATATATTATTTTTTATTCCTATTTGTGGCTAACACTTTATGTGTGAAAAATACTTTTAAATAGGACCAAAGACGAAAATGTAAACTATTTTATATCTGTGACTTATTAGACTAACTGCCGTACTCAGAGATGTTTGAATAAACTTATCAGACTATTAGAAGTATTCACTAAGGTACTGTTAACATCATGATGATATGATTATATGTGGTAATTGGAGAAGGAAATTAATGTTTTTGGCTAAAACTTTCAAAGATTCTTATCGTAGAATATTTCATGAATGAATAATTACTTTATATTTGTAATTTGTGTTATTAATTGATGATAATTTAAGTGTCAAACCATTTATATGACAAGAAAAATCGTTGAGTAATGAATAAGGTGTCACTGCTAGTTACCTGTTGTTACCGCACATGAAGTAATTATAAGAATATTACACGAATTCTAAAGCGATCGCTCTGCAACGGGCATGCCAGTGAAAGTGGGCGTGTGGTGCAAGCGAAAAGATGTAAGCGGGAAATAAATAATCTATCGGACTTATAACATTTGTATTTATTGATAAAATTAATATTAAATATTTAGATTTTAGATTGATTAGAAAATTATTATAATAAGCTAAATTAATACTTATTCGTTTCAAAACAAAAATCACCCTGTTTTTCCCTTATTATTGTGAAATTTTAGCAATATGCATTATAATTGTTAAACAAAAATTGATAAAGCGAATGAGCAAAAATGTATAAATTTATAACCGTTTAGGCAATATTGCAATATTAATTGAATCATGCAACTAAGCAATTAATTAACAACATATTTCGCTTGTCACTTGCACCATTCATCTTCATAAATAAACATTGGTAATATAACACGCGATGAAAATAGTTAATATTAAAAATTCATTCACTATCCTTTACGTTTACTGTAGAAAATCATTGTGTAATTTTTCTACAGTATTAGTTGTACAGTAATAGAGCCTTGTTGGGCGTTCGCCCAGGGCGCAGGATAAAATGGACGCCCCGGGTCGTACACAGTCTTGCCTATGAGTTAATATAGTGTATCTTTTCCAAGTATGGGAAAAAAGGGGGCGTTGTAGATTGTACAGGGCGTTTGTAGCCCTGTTTCTACGTAGTTCGTTAACTGTTCTGCGATTGTCAATTGTTTCTCAGTGGATTCAACAGTTTAGCTGTACAAGTAAAATCGAGTATGCGCACCTCCATATAAGGTCATAGGAATCAAAGCGGGACTAAACAGTTGTGCGATAGTTTAGTCGCACGCTCTTATGTACATCATGCCAGTGTTGTACATTACAGGAATAAGATAACCATATTTTACACACGATCCAATTATAGTAAAAGTGAAAGTCCGTGAGAAATTCGAAATCCAAGGACCATATACAAAGCCGTACATTCCAACTGGGAAGTGGAAACTTAAAGGGCATTGACAATGCACGTTCAAAGTGCCCGCTGATACCACAAAAGACTATCCCATATTTATTCGGTTAGAACATTTCGATGCTTATTATTATCACGCTGGACCTATGAGAGTTGGTTGACTTCACACATATCTTTGAATTTCTTCGCCGATATGTGCAGGTCTCACGATGTTTTCCTTCACCGTAAGATATCAAAATTCGAAAACATCTAATTTTTGTACATGGCGGGATTCGAACCCATGACCTGTAGATTACAAGTCAAGAGCTTTTACCTCTGAGCCAAGTAGCTAGTATCTAGTATCTTGATTTATTTGTATTTAATATTTTATATTGAATCGTAAAACTGTAATATACCAAGGGGAGATTATCTCTGACGAATTAAATCTTTAAACTGCTCATTAACTGTATTCATTGTGGTAATTATACAATTTGCATAGTTATGTACGGTTTAACTTTATCTTCATTGCTTACGTAAGTAACGGATAAGTCAGAATTTGCGTTCGTAAAAATATTTCACTCATCACATTGCTTGATTTCAGTTTTTTTCTAATTAACAATATTGATATAGTTTTTATAATTAGTTTTTTGTGTTTTTAACCGATTATCTGGAAATTAATAAAAATACCCAAATTCACTTATTTAGTAACAATTTGTTAACGTTTAAAAAT